CAACCACTTGTTTGTTTTTAGGGTCATTTATTAGAATACCCCCTAAAGTTTTGTAGATTTATTAAAACCTATCCTATAATTAACATTTTATTAAAGCACCCCTATGATTTGTAACCAATTTACTTAATCAACCTTATGTTAACAACTATTTGTATTGCCGTCTACAAATGGCTATGCTTTTTCTCCTTAATACAATTAGAAATAGTCATATGACCACTTAAACTGAGTGGAAAATGTTTAAAGGCACAAGTCCATCGTTTATTTCAAAAGTACCCCTAGTGCTTTTGAAAAAACAAAATTGAATTGAGTAGTTGCGCACATTTTACCGGGGGATAAAAACTACATTTTGATTTTTTTAATTAAATTTGTTTAAATGAACATTAGAGTCAAAACTATCATTTTTCACTTCTATCTAGTGGAAAGTCAATTAAGTAAATTGATTGCAAACTATAGGGAGTGCCCTTGTAAAACACAAACTATAGGGTAGAGTAACTTGTGAAACTTTAGGGGTGTTTTAGTAAATGATCTTTGCTTTTAAGATTAAAAGAGGAGTAAGGCAAATTACTCTTTTACTCATGGTAACAATTTCATATTTACTCGAGACCAAATCAGTCCCCCACAACGTCCCACAACACATCCCCACCGTGTATTGGGAACATCTCCCGATGATAATCCCATAAATGATGATGCCATCATCGGGAGATATTCCCAATACACGACGGGACGTGCTGTGGGAGGTTGTGAGGGGCAATCTTGTGGGGGGGCTGATTTGAACTCTATTTACTTGCCCTTATGGAAGATGTTCCCAAATGCACTATTGGGATGTATAGTGGGATGCGTGTAGGATGCACTCTATGGAGAGTCCGTCCAAACTCGTGAACAACCAAATTTTTTTCTAGAGTAGGTCATAGCGAGTTCAAATCTACCCTCAACATTGTCCCAATGGTGCACATTTGTGGAGATGTTGGAGATCACACTAGAGCCCTACATGCACATCTCGGTGTAATTGGGAACATCTATCTCCTGTACTTGTCATCATCAGGAGATGTTTCCAATACATGGTTGGGAGATCAAATCTGCACCCCTAAAATTCCCCACATGCACATCTTAGCGTGCATTGGGAACATCTCCTGAAGTTGTCAATGGGAGATGCTTCCAATACATGGTTGGGATATGCTATGGGGCATTTGTGGGGTGCACATGTGAATTCCATGGTTGGTATGTGCTGTGGAGTACCCCTTGTGAGGCGCTAATGTGAACTTGAGATGTTCCCAATGCATGGCTGCATTGCCCTATTGGGAGCAAGGTTCAAAATATCGATACTTTTTTTTAATTTTTTTGCACAACCGGTTCTGGTGGGCCGGTTTAAGGCTCCTCCACCCCCTGAACCGGTCAGAACCCCGATACACCCTTTGCGTATTGAGGAGCTCCCGGAATGATACGTATCGGCCAATACAAGTCGATACGTGTCAATACTTTGAACCTTGGTTGAGAGCATTTTATTGGTAATAAATCACTATTCAGTCATAGCAATGTGAACTCCCATATAGAAATGAGTTGCTTGGAGAACTAGGATTTGCTCCTCACATAGCGCACCTCACGCTGACCAGATTTCCCCTCACAAAATTGATCTTCACATGCATCTCCCGTAAATGTTATTTGCAGTCCAAAGATTTTACCTTCAATTGTTAAAACGGTATTTACAGGGTAACTTACTGTTTGGCATCGATGATGATTTCTCTTTGCCAATTATGATTTTTGGATATCGGTGATTTTTTAAAAAATCACCAAAAATTGTTATTTGGTATCATTTATGTCATGTAAGCCATTTTTTGAGAAATCGTCTTTTAGTTTATTTGGTATTGATTCTCAAGGGCTGATTATTTTTGTATTAGAGTAATTATTCAATGCCATGCCATCCTCAAAAATCGGAAACAACTAGAAATAAGGAAATTACCAAAAAAAAAATTTATCCCTGAAAAAGGGTTGTTTTCAAGAATCGATTTTAAGTTTATTTCCTAAAAATCCCCAAAATCAGCCAACCAAACAGAAATTTCAACTTCAATTCCTCTAACATTGATGTCCATCCGACATAACAGTGATTTTCAAGAAATCATCATTGATGCCAAACATCACATTTGTGTATGTAGTTGAACTGGAGTTGTTCGATCCATTGTTTTAAACCCGCTAGTTGAATCATTTGAACTGTCACGTAGTTAAGAGAGTCTAAGTCTTGTTTGAATGAAACCTAGCACTTGGTAAAAAATTGTTGACCTAGTCAAAAGCTTTTCGATCAGGGTGGTCTAATCATTGACCCATTCAACCCAATCACCGGATCCCGTGTTGAACATTTAATGTATGTACAAACTTTTAGAGGCCATAACTTTGCGTATGACGTCTAATTCGGGTGTTTTTTTTAGAATTTGGTGGGTAATTTTTCAAAATCTATGTGTCCCAAGGCGCCATGATTTCCATGAAAAAAAAAGCTTTTTTGGGCCTCATATTGCAATATTTAGCATTTTTATAAATAAAAAATAAAAATGAATTTAAATATAAATTAAATATGAAATAATAAGGACAAAAATATAATTTGAACAACTATTTTTCTTCTTATTCAAATCCCTTTCATTAAATCTTATAGTTAAGGTATTAACTCCCATTAAGATTTATTGAATCATTTCTTGACTAGAATACTCTTATTTATGAATTTTGTTTCTCTCTGATCGCACAAAATATAATATGAAGTACTATATTTCTCCTAATTTAAGCGTAGAATTTTTGTTTGACTAAAATACTCCAAAATTTGATTTGATTACTCACTAATTATAAGAACAAAAATGTAATTTGAACAACCTTTTTTCTCCTCATTTAAACCCCTCTCATATTAAGTCATATATTTAAAGTATTAACCCCCATTAACAATTGATTTGTTGATGATAGAAATAAGATAAAAAACTTAAAAACAATGCAAAAAAATTTTTTTTTTTCTATTTGGTGATGAGCTAACAATTCAACCTTTTGGGGTCAAATATGTAATCCCTTGATGTCATAATTAAATAATAATAATAATAATAATAATAATAATAATAATAATAATAATAATAATAATAATAATAATAATAATAATAACTAGATATTACTCCAATACCATCCCAATTCTTAAGGTTGCATTTGGAATCAGTGTAAAACGTCATCAGTGTAATTTACATTGAACTAGAAAGTGACCGTTGCTTTTTTGAAAATAGTGATGGGTGGAAGAGTGTAAAGTTTTACATTGATAAAATCACTGTAGTTTTACATTGGTTATCAATGTAAAACTTTAGAGTTGATGAGGTTTTAGATCGATTATCGATGTAAAATTACACTCCATCCAAACTCATGCAAAACTGATCTAGAATGTAGTTTTACATTGATAATAATTACACCCTCTTTCCAAATGCATACAAAACCGAACCAATGTAAAATTTACATCGATTATTGATATACATGACATCCAAATGCAGCCTAAGTATCTAATCAAAAACATTCATGACATGCCACGCGGGCTTCAAATAAAATTTGCCACGTGTCAAAGAAAGGATTCTTAGGTAGTGTAATCGGATCAGGCCCCGCCTAATGCCATCCAGATTTTCGGACAGGCATCTAGGCTCGACTCGACGCAGCGCTGGTCCATTGGCCGAACTCCGACTGAGTCAAAAGTAAACTGGTATAGACGGGCGGTTTGATCGGGAGTCGGGACCAGAAATTGCCACTTCAAACTCAACTCATCTGTGATCGAGTCAAAGTAAACTTTTTAGCTTCATTTTTTTCATAGGCTGCTGCCTGTTGGGCATGACCTTTAAACTTTGCACCACGGTCACCAATATTGCTGTGAATGCTGTCAGTGTGATGGTCTGGTCCGGATTACAATAAATCCAGTCCGACCCGATAGTTTGGTTCGGTGCGATTTAGAATAGATCTCAGACCAAGACTAAAACTAGTAAAATGTGGTGACATTTTTCATACCAAATTAAACCACTTTATTACGGTTTAATACGATTTAGGTCCTTCCATTCAGTATAATCCAATTAAAAGGCCGAAGCAACATATATGCTTGGATAAATAATAAATATTGCCTTTTAGTCACCATAAAATCATTGAATCATTTTAATTGATATGTTAATTTGGTTTGAATGAGTGAGTGCTTCGATAATTTATTTTATCGTATATTTTTATATTATATAAAATATATTATATATGTTATTATATGTGTATTTATATTGTTATACGATTTATGATTTGGTTTAGTTTTTAAGATTCAAAAAACCAAAAATAAACCGTTTTAAGTTTATAATAAATCAAACTGCAAATTGCGGTTTGGTTCAGTGTGATTTGGCGGTTTGAATGGTATATTGAACACTTTCAGATTGTAATTGAATTGAGTTCTAATTGAATAGAACCTTTGGATAAGCTTGATTAGTATTCAAGCTTTAACTCGACCAATTAAAAATTTGACTTGAAAATTCGAAAACTTAGCTTAATTACATATATGTGTATATATATATATATTATAGAATATAAAAATATATTCATTTTCAAATTTTCCACTCAAATTTGAACCCATTCAAACCGAGTTCAAATTAAAAAATATAGTTAAAATTAAACTCAACCTCAAACATCGAATCAATACATGCCAAAATTTGACTCGGCTTGACTCGACTGCAGCCCTTAGCCTACAAAATTGACAGATTTGGAAACGAATAACATGATAATGTTATAATTTAATTATGAAGAAGAGAGGTATCAGAGTAGGGTCATTTTTGTGTGGAAAAACCAAAATCTGATCCTGACCCAATTAGTGGGACATGTTTCCCTCTACGATTCGGTCGGTTCTGGAGGAATGGTTCTAACTAAGGGGTTTATGAACTTACGGTTCGAATTCGACTCGGATGAAAGATCGGTTCAACCGGTAAACACAGCGGCTGAAGATTGTAGTAGGGCGGAGGGCTGGTGCTATATAAACGATGGGAGAAGCGCACGAGGGTTAGGGCGGTAAAGAAGAAACGAAGCCAGAGAAGAGGGCTGTTTGCGGAGCATCCACTGTTCCGAAACTATTATACTTAGAAGGTAAAAGGAAAAAAAAAAAAAAAAAAGAAAAAAGAAAGAGAAGAAGCTCCATTCGCTCTCATTTTCTCTTGCAACATTTTTATTTTTACTTTTTTTTTTTCCTTTTTAAATCGACCTAAACCCTAGTTTTGCGTCATGCATTGAATCTTCTTACATATGTTTTTAATATTTCTTGGGTTTTTAATTCACGGTTTTGATTCTTCATCTGAAACCCGTTTCCTTTTTAATGGCATTTTTATCCTTTTGTGGGCGAGTGTATTTGATTTTTCAACTGATAAAAAAAAAGTTTTGCACACTATTAATTGTGAAATGGGTTTTCCTTTCTTTTTCCCGTCAATTTTATAGTTCCATCTCTGCATTACTCTTCAATGGAGGAGAAGTATTGGATTAGTTGGAGGAATGGTTGTGCTTTTACAAAGTCATTTACTTATTTTCTTTTTCTTTGTTAATGTGGAGAAGATGGATCGGTACCAGAGAGTGGAGAAGCCAAAAGCGGAAACACCAATAAACGAGAATGAGATACGGATTACGACTCAAGGTAGGATGAGGAGCTATATCACATATGCCACGAGCCTACTTCAGGTAACCTGTTTTCATTTCTATTTTCCTGTTTATTTAAATTGAAGTAAGACAATGCAAGGTTATCCGTCTGTTCAAGCCATTTATCTGAAACTATTGTTTCATTTGGTTGTAGTGCAAATAAATTTGCACTGATGCAAAACCATGATAGTGCAAATGATCTGAGTGCAAATTCTGATTTATTTTTGTTTCAAAATTTACCTTACTTTATTTGATTGCATTATTAATGAAGTAAAATAAGACCTGAAGCAGAATAAAGTAAAACCCAAAGAAAAATTAAACTAGGATTTGCATTCCCATGTATTTGTATTAGTGCAAATAAAATTGCACTGTAACCAAACACAACCTAAAGTTTTTGTTGTAAAAGAATGCAATTTAAAATGTTTTTGATGTTGTATCTGATAATGTGCGATGCAAGATAATAAACTAAAAAGAATGCTAATGCACAAAAAGAAAAAAAAAATGAAGTTCAGAAGAAAGATATACTATGAGTATCTGAAAATGAATAAAGAATTTGTTGTGGTGAAATGCCAAAATGAAGATAAAACCTTTTTCTGTGTTTTGTAAGGCAGAGAGAAGATAACATGAAAGATATTTATAGAAAAAAAATTCTGGAAGCAGTACCAGTGAAGCAGTATTATCGATGTTGGTGGTCAGTGAATTGTCCTATATCAGGCTGACCTGGAAATCCTAATCTTTAAATAATTAGATGTCTTTTCTCAACATCTGACATTCTGACTACATGTGCTCTTGATAGCCTAGTGGCACCCACTTTCAGAAGATGGGACTTCAAAAATATGGGCCACCAAATGGATGGTTGCTCTTGGTATTCAAATATGCCTGTTTTTTAGTGACGTGCATATGATTTCATTTAGGATCTTCATGGCATTGTTTAAAAGCCTGTGCTGTTATAAAAAGTCAAATTTATTCCATGCAATGAAGTATGTATGTTATAGCTTATGAATGCAGTAAGCAGTTAACAAGTTCCATACTGAATATGTTCAAATTTGTTTGTCTGCATTATGTATGCAATCATGCATGAAGAACTTTAACAACATCTGGAAATTATAACTTTGTGTTGATCAAAAAAATTATGACTTTGTCCATTGTATTTTTTTAACTGTGTTATTTAATTTTATTTATTAGTTGTAGTTGCTTTACATATCTTGATTATTGTTCCTTGATTTCAATAACCATATTAAAAAGAAGTTGCGCATCTAAAGTAAACTGTTCCACGTATGAACAATAAAAAATGAAATGTTCCATGTATGGAATCCATCACTTTATTATGGAAATCTAGCGTCAGTTATATTGATGCTTTCCTTTTTTTTTCCCATTCTTGAGATCAAGGGATGCCTTATCTTTATCATGCTTTTTTTTTGGATGTAAGTGTGCTTCGCATTTTGACAGGAGAAAGGATCAAATGAAATTGTCTTCAAGGCAATGGGAAGAGCTATCAACAAGACTGTAATGATCGTGGAGCTAATTAAGGTAGTTTACTTGATATTATCAGTCAAGAATGATCCCAGATTCTTATTTCAAGCATGGAAGGCTTGTTATTTTATTTGTCTCCATTTTCTTTTGGAGTTGTATACTTACTATTACCTATAAAGCAGAGAAGAATTGTTGGTCTTCATCAGAATACATCAATTGGTTCCACTGACATAACTGATACTTGGGAGCCCCTAGAAGAAGGCCTCCTTCCGTAAGAGCACTTTGAACCTTGTCTTGAGCATGAAAGGCTGTATTCTGATTGTCATGATAGGCACCATGGTGTTCATCATGCCTATTGTTCTTTGGTCCTGTTTTGGCTCTCATAAGGGCTCTTCTTTGCATTACAGTCTCGAAACCACTAGGCATGTCTCAATGATTACAATCACCCTTTCAAAGAAGGAGCTCGATAAGTCATCTATTGGGTGAGTTTAAATTGGTTTATTATCTATACTTGCAATACTTCATGTTATCAAGGCTCACTACATTTTGTATTTATCTATATTTGATTATTTTCTTTAATCACTAACTGATCAGAAACCTTATTAAATTATCAAAATAAGAAATGATAATAAAGAAAATAAACAGTCACACTCCCCAAAAAAAAATCTCAAGGAGTGAGGACAACCTTGTATCCTCCCCCAAGCAACATAGAAATCTGATAGATTATAACTAGTTCCTTTACTTGGTGTATAGACCCTCCATGCAAAATATGTGTATTAGAACTCTTCTAGCTAGTGAATCTGCCAATTTTTGAGTCTGTCTGAAAGAGGTGCTCAAGGTGATAGCGAAATCTCTATGCATCTAGCTTCCCAGGTGAACTGGCATTAATGCAGTTTTTTGGAGTAGTCTAGTGGGAAAAGAAATGCCAGAGATTTTGATGGTTTGTATTGCTAAGCACATGTAAGAGGTGCTCAAGGTGATAGCGAAATCTCTAGGCTTCTAGCTTCCCAGGTGAACTGGCATTAATGCAGTCTTTTTGAGTAATCTAGTGGGAAAAGAAATGCCAGAGATTTTGATGGTTTGTATAGCTAAGCACATGTATTTTAGACCCTTTGATGAATCTCCACCATTGTTATTTTTGATTGTTCAAGTGCAGATAAGGAACCTTTCTTGTGACTTATGATTTGGAACCACCACTGCTATCATTTCCTAAGTTAACATTGCTAGTTAGTTTAGTATTTAGAAGAGTGACCCTTTGATGAATCTCCACCATTGTTATTTTTGATTGTTCAAGTGCAGATAAGGAACCTTTCTTGCGACTTATGATTTGGAATCACCACTGTTACCATTTCCTAAGTTAACATTGCTAGTTAGTCTAGTATTTAGAAGAGTTGCATCTATTCCTTGCGAGTATCATGCACTTTTCATTCCTTACCCTCTCTTTATCTATTGGAAATAATCTAATGTGCATAATGTGTGCATAATACTGTTTCTGAACAAGATAATTGGAAATTGCCTCTATTGGGTATGATTCAACTTTCATTTTGGGAGAGACTAAGTTCTATTACAAAGTGCTTCTTGGTAGTGTTTGACAGGAAAATATCTAGGTGGATCTGGAGTAGGTTTTGCAGTTTTACTATTATTAAGTACCTATTTTTCCGTTTTTGTGCTGTTTCCTTTAAGCAAAGAATCCCGATAGCTGATTAATATGTTATCTTTTATATGTAAACTGGATATTGAAGAAATTGGTAGCCATCTTCTGAGTGGTGGTTTTAGATGGTGTTATAATTATTTTAGGTATCATGCTGTCAGTGTTATTTTGATTTATGGAGCAACTAAAATATTTATTGTCTATCTCATTAGTCACAGCCTTTTGGTTGTACAGAGATTTTGGTATTTACTGGTTTAATGTTGATGTGGTGAAACTGTTCCTAGGTATCTATCTGTTTCTCTGTTGCATACCTGACATTCTCAATGAGAAAGTTGCCCAGTTAAAGAGTGAAATCAGCATTGGAACTTGTAACCAGATTGAGATACAATGTGATGTAGGACAGGTAGGGGTCCTATGACTTTCAAATCTGATGGTGGACTTTCTAGGGCAAAGAAAGGTGATGTTGGTGAGCAAGGATGAAGAATATGGGTGAAGAAGCTAGGGATGAAAAAGCTTTCTAGTTATCAAAAAGTGAACAAGTATGAAGAATATAGCTGTTATAGTAAGCAGCAAAGATATAAAATGCTTAGAAGAAGAATCAAGTCATAATCATCATGTAAGCCTTGTCCCAACTATATGGGGTTGGCTACATGGATCCTGTTTCGCCATTCCATTCAGATTTGTGCCATGAAGAAGAATGAAGTAAGAGAGAAACAAAAGAAAAATATCTGACTACAATCAAGGTTTGCTAATCCAGAGTTCCAGACTTTTATCCATCAAATCAACTTTATTTTTTTTTTTCAATTACAATGACTATCTTCAATTTTTAACTCAAAAACTGATCCCAAGCAAGTTCTATTCTTCTAACTAGTTTATTACTTAAAAAAACCCATAAGTGGTAGCATATGGAGACGCTCAAATAGGGGCTTACTCCTGAATAATTTTGTTTAACTCATTACTAATCTTACTAAAACTAAACTAAATGTAAAGAAACTAGAAATTACAAAAACCCATAAGTGGTAGCATGGACGGAGATAGAGCCCCTGGCCCTGATGGCTTCCCAATTCTATTCTACCAGACATGTTGGAGCATCATTAATTCAGATTTATTACAAGTATTTAATGATTTCTATCATTCAGCCATTGTAAACAAAGGAAACAATTCCAATTTCATATGCCTGATTCCCAAGAGAAAGGGTACTTTAGAACCAAAAGAGTATAGACCTATCAGTCTGATTGGGAGTGTCTACAAAATTTTAGCAAAGGTTCTAGCTGAAAGATTGAAGAAAGTTTTAGGTGAAATCATATACCCGAATCAATTTGCTTTCATCAAAGGGCGTTAAATAATCGACAACACTCTAATAGCAAGCAGATGCGTTGAAGAGAGGAAGCTGAATGGCAAACCAGGTGTGATTGTGAAACTTTATTTGGAAAAAGCGTATGATAAAATAGATTGGGAGTGCCTCATGGAAACTATGAGAATAATGTGTTTTTGAAACAAGTGGATTCAGTGAGTTGAGGGATGCATAAGTTCTACTTGGTTCTCAGTAAATGGGCAGCCAAAAGGATACTTTAATGCCAACATAGGCCTAAGACAAGGATACCCCCTCTCCCCATTGCTTTTTACTCTAGTCACAGAAATTTTCAGCCAATTGGTGAATAAGGCAATCTCTCTTGGACTATTGAGAGGATTTGAAGTTGGACAGGAAGCTACCCAAATATCTCATCTTCAGTTTGCTAATGACACTATCCTTTTTTCTAGAAGCTGATGAAGTTTATGTGTCAAATCTGAAAAGGGTCATCACCTGTTTTGAATGGATGTCAGGATTGCAAGTAAACTTCTTAAAGAGCAGTATTGCTGGCATACATCTAGCAGAGGCTCAATCCTTGATTAGCTTCACAGAGATCTTGGGATGCAAAGTAGAGAATCTCCCCTTCTCATATATGGGGATGCCTCTTGGAGGGAACTCGAAAAATCAAAGCTTTTGGGCAATTCTAGAAAAATGTGAGAAGAAACTAGCAACATGGAAAATGAACTACTTGTCAAAAAGGGGGGGGGGGCTCACTCTAGTTAGAGCATCATCCTTGGCATACCTTCCCACCTACCAGCTTTCCATCTTTCGCATGCCTAACAAGATAACCATTCAGTTAGAAAAACTTCAAAGAAACTTTATTTGGGAAGGAGGGGGGAAGGGGCTCACACCTTGTGAAGTGGTCTCAGGTTAGCAAACCAAAGGAGAATGGAGATTTGGGAGTAGGTCATTTGAAAGAAAGAAACACGGCTCTTCTTAGTAAATGGTTGTGGCGATTTCCTCTAGAGCCAACTGCACTATGGACTGCTGTAATCACTAGCAAAGACGGGAAGCACACCAATGGTTGGGATAGCAAGCTTCACTTGAATCGAATCAAAGACACCCACCCTTGGAAAGGTATAATCTTGACTTACAATTTTTTCATATCCTTTATTAGATATAAAGTGGGAAAGGGTGACAATTTAGTTTTGGACCGACCTGTGGTGGGGTAATTCTACTTTAGCTAACTCGTTCCCTCGCCTATTCAGCCTTACCTTAAACCAAGAAGCTTCCATATCCTAGGTTTTACCCCCTCCCCTCCTTATTTCAACTGGAATCTAACCCTTAGGAGACCTCTAAGGGATCCAGAAATTAGTGAAATCTCTAGCTTCTTGGACACCCTGAGAGAGGTCTACCTCTCACAAAATTCCCCTGACCTTCGTGTTTGGACCCTTCACCCATCAGGTAAGTTTTCAACCAAATCTTGCTTCAAAGCTTTAGTTAGGGAAGAACAAACTAATGATCAGTACCCCTACAAGAGAATCTGGTGTGCTCATATCCTTACCAGGGTATGTTTTTTTGTGTGGGAAGCCAGCTTAAAGAAAATCAACACTTTTGACCTCCTTCAGAAAAAGAACCATGGCAGGTATTATTTATCTCCACATGGCTGTTGCTTCTGCTTTAAAGCTAGGGAACCCACCAACCATATTCTGCTCCACTGTGAGGAAACTAGAAAATGCTGGAACTTCTTTCTATCTTTGTTTCAATACAGCTGGGTTTTCCCTGAAAATGTGGCTGATTGCTTAAGGCAATGGTCAGGAAGAGGATTAAGCAAAAGAGGGAAAATCTTATGGCAATCTGCTGCGCATGCTATTTTCTGGAGCATTTGGGAAGAGAGAAACAACAGGGTCTTTAACAACAGAACAAAAAACTTTGAGGAGCTGATGTCTCTAATATGTTACAGATGCTTCCTAGACTTCCAGCTCATCTCATTTCAGAGGTGTCCCTTTTGATGACCTCGAAAGAAACGCTGTAAATTTCTTTCACACTAAACAAATACAGTTCAACACTACCCGTAACTTCAGATCTGATGTGGAGGGCGAGACGACCTTGTATTTTGATAGGAGTGCTTTTGGAAACCCAGGTACAGCGGTTATTGGAGGTGTAATTCGAAATAGAAATGGTATCAGTTGGGCTTTTAGTGGGCCAGTTGGAGTTGCCTCATTAACAAAGGCAGAAGTCTTGGCAGCTCTAACTGGCATCAGGATTGCAAAAGACACGGGTTTACAAAGTCTTACCATTAAAGGAGATTCAGCCAACACCATTAACTGGCTTTCTAGTCCTGACAGTGGGCCTTGGGCCTCTTTAAGTGGCCAGGTGGTCTGGATTCCGAGGGAGCTAAACTCTGAAGCTGATAGTCTATTTAAATCTGGTGCTTACAGGGATTTTCTCTTTAGTGATAGCTATATGCCTTTGTAATTTTCTGAGAGTTTTATCTGTTGTGTACATTGCCTCATGTACCTCTCCTTTTGAATAAAGTTAACTTTTTCTCAAAAAAAAAATCACGATTTTATTTATAAATAGTAATTTTGATATTTAGTAAGACTAGTAGCTTTATAGAAAATTGAAACTTAACCAACTCCTAAGACATCAATAACCTAGAAAATGGATTTAAAAACTCAAAAAATACCAATGTCCAATCACCTAAAAAATTTGAAATCAGTGTAGGAATTGGAGAAGTGATGTATTTCTCATTGAATTCTTTCCTTGTGTCTTTTTTGGTATTACATGTTACACATTATCAGGGTCTGGGAGGTTCTCATTGGCATATCTGTATCGTAGTGAGTCCTGTGCCTATATTTCTCAAAAGTAACTTCGGTGATAGTAGAAATGGAGATTTTGAAGATGTATATCAATCTGAGTATTGTTTAATGATGAAGCCAGTTTTAATTTTTACAATGTTTTGGAGGTCTTATAGGACAGTAGGAGCATAGTCAAATAATTTTTACTAGGTTCAAAATAAATAAATTTAGCCATGCTTAAGTCACTCCAAAGATGTAATTGCTTCAGAATTTTATTGGAGATGGCTAGGTAGTTGCTAATTTGATGATCCTCTTGGTACCTACATGGCTACAAGGGCATAACTCGAGAGCATTTCAGGAAGCAAATTGGCCCAGTGGGCTGTAATACCTTATTCCTTGTATGATCTGCATGGGCAACACTTCTTTAATGCAAAAATCTGGTCAAAATAAATTAAATGGTGCTTGATTTGCTTTATTATATATTGGGCACTATATGTATTCTTGTGCTTCCTATTATTGCCATCAACTAAGCCTTATCCCAACTATATGGGGCCAGTTACATAATCCTGTTTTGCCATTCTGTTCTGTTTAATGCCATGTTTATTGTTACATTATGAGTGGTTAAATCATTTCTTACCACTTCAAATTATGTCCCTTTGGGTCTTCCCCTAGCCCTTCTAGCCCCTTCAACTTGTGACAGATCACTTCTTAAAGGTGCTGTACATGATCTTTTATGCACGTGACGAAACCATCTTAGTCTACTTTCTCCCATTTTGTCACCTGTTTGAGTCGGTTCCTTTGATAATGACTTCATTCTTACTCTCTGTGTGTTCTTTTGCTTCTAGATGATAAGAGTTGAGATTAATGCAAATGATTAGTTATTTATGAAGTCAAGAAATGCTTTGATTGTCGTCTCAAGTTCCTTTCTTAACCGGTTAACCCTAAAAACTGATCATTATTTATCAACTGAAGCAGGAGTAATCGCTATCTGAATATTTATTAATGTCCGCTTTCTATTTTCCTTAAAAAAAGGACAAATCGTCATTACTTATGCATATCATTATCTTTGTCAGGTACCAGCCCCCTTTACCAGCTGATCAGGTGAAGGCACTGACGGAATTTGAATATGAAGGTGGTAATGCAGTAGTTCTATATTTTGTTATATTCTATTCTCAGGTTAGCAATGCCCCAATATCCTGTGACATCTTTTTGGAATGTAGATGGTTCACCTGGTGGTCGAGGAAGGGGACGTGGTGGTAGAGGAAGAGGAAGGGCTAGAGGTATGTTTGCTACGAGTGTATTCACACTACAGTTACAAACTACTAGAGAATTGTCCAAATTATTTGCAATGATACTAAATTAGGCTCACTTGCTGTGTCCAGTGATTTGGGCATACCCCATTTTGATAAAATGGGCACATCCCTAGTGAAAAGACATGGAAACCACTGTTTGCCTTTTATTACTTGTATTATTTGACTAATGATTAGAAGTATGCCTCTATAAAAAGTGGGATGTGCCCAAACCACTGGCCTATAGACCTGTTCATGGGCCGGGTAGCCCGATGGGCTGGCCCGACTCGACTCGTTATTAAGTCGGGCATGGTCATAATTTTAGGCATGCGGGCTCGGGCTCAGGCCTAATCGGGCCCGACTTTTTTTGGGCTGGGCCGAGCCCGAGCCTGACTTGATACAATATATTAAATAATAAAAATATATTTTATTTAATAAAAAATATATATACAATATTTTTTCTTTGTACTCTTTTTTTTCCAAGTAATAGTGAGGTGCTTATTATTTTTGAGTTTTGAAGGTTTTTAATATAAATAAAACACTTTTTATTGAATAAAAAAAGAAAAAATTATGTTTTCAAATTTTTGGTCGGGCTTGGGCTCGAGCCCGGGCTTTGGGCTTTATGAGGCCGGGCTCGGGCTCACACCTGAGTGTATTCTGTTGATACATGTACAAAACCTGGCCCGGCCCATGAACAGGTCTACTAGCCTAAAAAATTTAGTGTTTTAAGAGAATTGAAAGATATTACTAGTATGGATGCTTAGATATTACTATTAATATACTATTACTAACATGGATCTATATTATTAATAGGGCAAATTACAGATAGGTACCTTATACTAAGGGCCCCAACTTTCAAGTGCAACATTTTAGTACCTTCAACTTTTAGAAGTATACACTTGAGTCCAACTCTGTTAAAACTGACTTTACAGTGGGGTAAAATTACAAAAATGCCCATATTCAGATTTTCTTTTTGTTTTTCATTATTCTTTGTTGTTTCATCCAAATGCTTTTATTCTTTGTTGAAAAGAAGTATAGAGATGGCTTCATATGGAAAAAAAGAGAAATCAAAGTTCAGTGAGCAAAAGAGAATCTAAACACGGTCATTATTGTAGTTTTGCCCTCATTGTCACGTCATTTTTAACAGAGTTGGACTTAAAAGTGTATATTTCCAGTTCAGGGTACTAAAATGTTCCACTTTAAAGTTCAAGCCCTTAAATGTCACAAACAGGAATGCAAATGTAGAGGCAATGATTGTTAAAGTTGATTAATCATACTCAAGAGAAGAGTCACGTAGAGTTATTAGAATCCCTGTAGTTACAGATTCATAAGCAAACACTTTGTCCATTCAATCATATAATGTGAACCGTTTTGATAGTTTTAAGCAATAGTTGATTAAGTACGTACTGAGTTTCATAAAGACATTTTCCCGTAGATACAATATTGTTTTGTTAAAAGAGTAGTGTTCTTATGATATTCTGATATGACTAGTGCATTTTATTTCAGGGAACGGATTTGTGTCTGGTGAATACGGAGATGGAGGTTGGGACAGAAGTCGAAGCTTTAGGGGCTGGGGCCGTGGAAGAGGGCGTGGCTTCCGTGGGCGTGGAAGGGGAGGATACAATTACGGTGCCCCGGCTGATACCCAACAAGAAGCAGTAGTCAACCATGAACCACCTGTTCAAGGCCGAGGTACTGTAGTGTTATTCTCCCTTCTTCACGGGGTTTATTGATTCAATGTTAATTGCTCATTAGAAAACTCAGTGTCTGACTTTTATTTGATTGCAGGGCGTGGCCGTTGGAGGGGACAGAATCGTGGAAGAGGCCGTAATGTTCAATCCAATGGGCCGATCCATGTAGTTGCTGGAGGCGCTTGACTTGCTCCCTCCAATGTATTGATCCCGATTGCAAGTTATTGCATTTTATATGCTGGATTGGATGCCTGCTCCATTTTTTCTCTCTTATCTTTTAATTTTTCTCCTTCGCTACTATTTTTAATTTATCATCCCATTTGTGATAGGATAGGATGTATTGTGTAGCAACGTTAAATGTAAACCCTGTATTTGATGAAGCCGTCGTAGGACGGCAACGTCGACGTGTTTTTGTAGGTGGTTTAGGATTTCTCATTCTGACTTTGTTGTAGAATTTTGCTAACCGAGCAGTACATTCATTCATTGGTTGGTTTTTTTTTTTAATTTTTATCATCTTAGGTGATTCGTTTTTGTTAAATTGACTTGTTCAATTGAAAATGTTCTTAGCTTGTTCACTTTGATGTCTGACATCTGAAAGTGCAATAATTACATTAAGAGGTATTTTGGTATTGGTGAACTTTTCTTTCCTCCGAACTTTGAATTGTAGAGAATGTTGTTTTGAATTCTGAATTTTGAAAATTGTCAAATATCTATTTTGACCCCATATATGAGAGTTTTTGTTTATTTTTTTTGAGTATCATTGGAAAATAAAAAATTGTATGATTGCATTTTAATATAGAAGAGATAAGAGGAAACGAACAATCAATTTTCTTTTAAAGTTAAAAGATTCCTCTTAAGAGATAAGAATTAAGAGGAAACGAACACACCTTTAGTCGATTTATTGTGAAGCAACCAAGGGCCAAATGACCTAGAGTGCAATTTGGCCCTATTTGGTTTGAGGAAAATAGGGGTCTGAAATCTGTATGGATTATTATTCAGACTCTTACTGTTTGGTTGGGCAGAATTGGAATCCTGTTTCTATTCAATTGGAATGGCATTCCCTGATTTGAGGGAATGACCATTGGAATGAAATCCCATTTTTATAATCCAATTCTCATTTCCATTCCTATCTGAATCAAATAGAGTACGAGATAATGAGCATAGATCATTCTGATTTCAATTCTAGCTGTGAACCAAATGAACCCTAATTACTATTTCATAATCTATGCAGTCTTCTCCTTTTTGTTTATGTATTTTAGGCCAAGAAGTCCGAGTCGTCCACTCTGCTTAAGGACGAGTCTATCGATAGGAAGTTTGCAATTTCCCTTACCTCACACGCGTGTGGCTTAGGTTATGAAATCTGAACTCTGAAGAGCTTTGCAAGTTGTAACTTGCAACTACTATTTTCTATTCTCTTCACCTGTCTATCTTGTCTTAGATTATTCTATTCCTACAGGATATGATGAAACTTAAAAAAAGATAGATATTCCTATAATTAATTGAAACTTAAAAGCTTGTTCACAGTCCCAAAACCATAGAATATGCCCCAACACAAACCACTTTTTGTTAGGTTTTATGGGGATTTTATATTTGAAGGTATTTGCATGATTTTCAAAACCGGATCGGACCAGACAGTCGGACTGGAAAAACCAGGAACTGGTCACCTGATCGGTTCCATTTTTCTCAAAAATCATTAATTTTGGTCAACAAACCGCTGAACTGGCCGGTTAACCGTTTGAATAGTTTTGATCGTTTTTCAATTTTTTTTTAATATTTTGTTAAAACGAGCTGACCTTTTGGATTGAACGATTGGACCGTTTGAACTACTAACCGAACCCCTAACCAATTCGGTTTTAAAATCCATGAATATTTGGATTGGCAAGAGGTCACATTCCATGCTTCTGGTCTGTGAACAAGATTTTAGATTTCAATTATAGGAACGTCTATATCTTCTTAAGTTTCATCGTATCGAGCATGAATAGAATAATCAAGACAAGATATTTTATTGCATATTCAATGGAGAGAATGACAGGCAGGAAGATCTTTTTGGCATTATCCAAAACTCGCATGAAAGGGTTCTTTCACTTTCAATTTCTTTTTAATTGGAAAGAGAAAACACAATGTAGATTGCTCCACAACTCCATCTACCATCTACCCCTTATGGATTTTGTCGGTAAGGTTATAACTTATAACACTTTGGACCAGAAAATTAGATAAACTTTTCCAACATCTTCAATGTGTTTCTACATGATGTGTGTGTATGAAAGAGAGAAGAGAAGGAGATTTCCATTGTAATAATGGACCTTCAGTGAGAATGTCAAAATGGTCCATCAATTGACAGATTGTTCACACCCATGCATACAAATAATACTTAAACTCCAATGCCACTCTCGTTCCAACACTAGAAATAATACAAATGGTGAGTTTTCTATTTAGAAACATTCAATGCCTGAGCCATGGTCCATTGGTAAGCAAGAACATATTATGGATCCTTGGCATAAAAAAAGTGGAAAACCTGAACCTGACAATCTAGTCCAAAAAAAAGGTATGATACCGAAATCGGTCTAAATCAGTCTTCACACCAGTTTGATTTGTTAAAAGTTATAACATTTTTAAAGTACTGTCATTGAAATTGTGATTAAAATTGTTAACATTATGTGGTGGAGTAGTGAGCAAAAAAAAATAAAAAAACCGAATTGACTGAAATCGAACCAGTCAGTTCAGTGCTTTTAAAAAATCGAAGGTACCGATTTGATTTCGGTTAACCAATATAGAAAACCAACGGTTAACTGAACCAATCGGTATACATATATTTCTATATATTTTATAAATATTTATGTATATTATATAACTTTTTTATATATTATAAATTAATAAAAATGCATTATATAAATATATATTTATAATATATGATATATTATTTATTATTTAAAATATAATATTACATATATATATATCTATATATACTTTATAATATATATTGTAAAAATTAAAAAACCAATGAACTAAACCGACGATTAACCGAACCAGTCAATTGGTTAACCAATAGGTTTTGGTTACCGGTTTTCCAAAAACCAGTACTACCGGTTCGGTTACAAAAAATGCCCCACTATTCGGTTAACCGAATCGTAAGCACCCATATGATGGAGCCATTTATTCCTAACGTGTCATGATTCCCCATAGGTATAGAATTTTCCATAATTTAAAGTTTCAACTTTTAACTCTCATACTCTTCTCTTCGCTTAAAAAAAAGGGAGTCAGACTACCTTAGATCCCTTGCTGACAGCATCGACTCATAGACCTTGGCACCTTGCCAAAAGCAAACTCTTAGCTTGAACCTAGAAAATGTATCAAAACTTCAAAAGGTCTGCTTGAGAAGGCTGAAGTGCAGTTACTTGGGAAATAGGCCTTACATAAAAAACTTGTGCCCATTGGAGGGTTGAGTAGGGATGGCAATTTCCATCCCACTCAATGGCAACCCGCCCCAACAAGGTAGTTTTTTTTTTTTTTTTAAACGGATTTCTAGGGCAATGACTGATTTAGGACTTTCTGTATGAGTATGAGTAGGGTATTTTATACATAAAAGATAACTAAGCTTAAAGGATATTACAAAGATTTATGTCCAACCATTCAAGAGTATTCTCACAAGTTGCAGCGGTGATGGCAGGAAGACAGGGAGAGAGAGAGAGAGAGAAATGTGGAATAGGAAGGGGTATTTTTGACTTTATGCTATGTCTGGAATGCATATGAGCACATTAAGTGATAGGCCCAAGTTTAAAAATTTCCTATTTGAAAAAACTTTTCAAGTCCTATTTCAGATGCAACACCAAACAAAGGTGGCGTTTTCAGATTCAAACGACTGAAAAATGCAATCAAACGCCCCCTTAATAAGAGTTCAATTAAGCAAATAAGTTGCAAACTATAGGAGGTGTTTTGATAAACTGTGAGACAGGTTGAAGTAAATCCACAAAATTATGGGTGTTCTAATAAATGGCCCTATTGTATATTATAATACATATAAATTTATTGGTCGGTTTGATTAACTATTGGTTCTTCTTTTAGATTAACAGAAACTAAATTAATCCGGTTTTTGAAAAATACCAACCAAAATCAAATCAATCGATTTGGTTAACCAGATTTTTCGGTTTGATTTGATTTTTATTGGCGGCACCCCTGTTAAAGCCCTCTCAGGTACCCACTGTTTTTTAAAAAATGCCAAACCAAAACCGAACCGATAAATTTGGTTAACAAGATTTTTCCATTAGATTCGTTTTTTGTTGAGCACCCTATGAAAGCACTCCCAAACAGACACCAAATATAGTGTGAAGGGTGTCCATGTAGGCGTGTAGCCCAGAACCTGCAGATACACGGGTTTGATCCCCCGCCTCTGGCCTTGGAGGAACGCCGAGCGACCATCTCAGCTACTGGGTCATCTAGTATCGACGACTCGCCGTAGCACAACTGTGAACCGTGTCCAAATCTCAAAAAATTGCACAAGTGAGGGAGAGAGAAGCTGAAGGGTGAAGTCGAAAAGGGTGAGAGACTATACCCTCGCAGGTGTCAAGGTACTGTGCATATCACTTGGTTTCATTTATTGATCAATATCTATTGATTAGGCATTAGGGTTTCGTAAAAAAGACTGGAAATTTTGGGTTTGGTTTTTCTCTGCTACTTCTACCTTGTTTAATTCTTACAAGTCGCTTTCCACGGTATCTTTCTATCGTGCATCAGGCGCACGTTAGATCTTTAAATTCTCTTTGTAAACCGCATTTTAACTTGGAGATGAAGAAAGAAGAGATCCCAAATAAACTCAGTGTGAACCCTAGCTTTTAAGCCTCGGATCGCTCTAGGTCCTTTGAGTTTTAGTTTGATTTCTTCATCTGATAGTTCAGGTCAATTCCATCGAGTTTTTATTTATTTATTCTGGGATTGATTTTTCCCGAGCTGTTCTCACTCTATGATTCAATCGTTTTTCAGTATTGTTCCTGCAGGATGACTCAGGATGTGGAGATGAAGGAGCTTCCAGCTCCTTCGAATTCTGTTTCTTCTACCGCCCCCTCAACTTTGCAGCGTAAGATAAATACAAAGCCCCATTTTCTTTTTCGATCGGTTTCGCAAGTTGGCTTCATTTTGCTTACCTATTTTCTTGTCCGTGGGGCATTCAGATTTGAAGGAGATAGCATCCCTTATCGAGACAGGTGCATATGCCAGAGAGGTTCGGCGAATCGTGAGAGCGGTTCGTCTAACAATTGCATTGAGACGGAAGCTTAAGGCACCGGTGTTATCTGCTTTCCTCAATTTTGCTCTTGCCCCAGGTTCTGAAGCTCACATCCGGTTGTCTTCGTACCTTCCTAAGGTAACTTGTGAACCCTTTGTGCATTTAGGTTCTCTTGGGTTTTACGCTCATGCCTGTTTTGGGACATCAATTAGACCTTATTCTCATGTTGATAGGGTACAAAATATTTGATATTTCTTTGTTGGAGCCATTCCACAATAATTCCTTGCAAGCTGCAATTGAGCAACAAAAACACGAATGCGGAATGATCGTGCAGTTCCTTTTTTGTTTAAATCGTTTGGGAGTCTTCTGTACAATTTTCTAGTAGCATATGCATTCAACTCAAAGAGGAAATGTTAATTTGGTTTAAGTTGGATTTTAGGCATTTTCAAATTGCTAAACCTTAGAATTTGACACATCACTATACATTTTGGTCTATTAACTATTGATATAGAAGCAAATTTTTAAACAAAAATCTTGCAACTGTTTGATTTTCTTCTTGAAGTCAAGAATGATTTATTAATTTTAACGAATTGAGCCGTTAAATTGATAAAAATCCATATCACAAAATACAAAAAAAAAGGATCTTTTTGATGCTTAACTTACAAAGAGTTCCCTTAACACAAAAAATATGCCACCATGGCATGGGGGTTGATTTATATTAGTACAATGTAACACGATATGAATGCACATAGTATCCATCTGTCTGAATTTTAATTTGACCATTTTATAATTGGATCAAGTGTGGATCCATCCCAGCCTAATCTGATATGATCTGGTCTGATAATATTTAAACATAATTTGCAGTTATTGATAAAAAAGATAACATTTAAACAAAGGATCATTACCTGATATTTAGTGATTTAGTCCATACTATTCAAGGGAGGTGTGGACTGCATACACACCCAACTTTTGGCATTTTGTACAAAATGGCTGTTTATATGCATGCGAAAATCATTTTTATCTATTAGCAAAGTTAGTTTGAATTTGCATATTTACTATAGAATCATAGGTTCAAGTCCTATAGAAGTTATTTTGAAGTCATTTTAGTCATGATATACAATATCAAAGTCATTTCTAGTTTATTTTATTAATAACACATATATTATGGCAATTTTTAGTTTATTTATATCCAAATATGATCTGAGTCCAGTTTGAATATGATCAATAACATTTGATTCTATTTTAAGTTGAATATTACTGGAGCAGATTTGGATCTAGGCATTTTACCTTGGAATCTGATCCATTTGTAGTCCTATATCATGAGTGAGCTCAGTCGTTTTCTTTTTTATTTTTTTTATTTTTGAAAGGATGAGCTTAGTCATGTTGTTGTAAGCAGGGCTTGATGCAGTTGTATTTTGAGCTATTATGCTTGTCAAATTTAGGTTAAATTATCAGGTTAAGTGGCTTTTAGGATGCAAATCAAGCTAAGTGGACTATGGAGCTAAGCTTGTGGCTTACCACTCTAGGTGAAGCGATATGGTGAAAGGAGTGCAAAAATGGTCAGTTCATAATAGTGAGGTCATTTATGTAATGCTTTAATCAATAATTGGGTTGATGGATCAAAGGTTAGATGTATTTGGGGTAACCCTACTCCACCTTGGGTGGAGGCTTTTGCTTGGCTAGTTGCAATGAACATTGTTCTCATGATCAAGGTTCAAAGTATTGGAAACACAAGGTGTATTAGAATGCAATTTTAAGAGATGTACTGGAATACTCTTTGGATATACATGGATATGGACGAAAACTCAAGATACACATGGATATGCTAGGAAACTCAAATAAATCTTAAAAAAATATATTAATAATAGATAAAAGTTTGATATAACTATAGATAAGTTATTTATACATAAACAACAATACTTTAATATGTATATATCTTAATTTTCATAAAATTAATATAATTTGTGTAAATATTTATTACTATATAAATTTTAACAATCAATTTAGCATTTATTGCCAAGGATCAAAATGCCTAAGAGTAGAAAATTTACTCAAGAATCAAAATGCATATGTTTATGACAAGCAACTACAATATGCCTTAGTGGTGGACTTGTGGTTGTTAAAAACTAATGACCAAGGTTCAAATTCTTCTGCTTGTAGATTTTTATGGTCAATGTTTTAAAAGTGTTAGGCACAAAAAAAGCGCAAGGGACATTTTGCACCTTTTTGAAGCAAGGCGCAAAAATGCAAAAGATAATGTTGAAAACAAGAAAAATGCCAAAAAAATAAAAATATTAAACACAATATTAATTAAAAATATAAACTTAAAATTTAAAATAAATGTTTTAAAATGCCTATTATATCAAATTAAAATATATAAACATACCATGTAAAACGTATTTAAAATGAAAATTTAAAAATAAAATCAAGCATAACATATAAAACATATTCAAGCATGTAAACTCTTAATCTCTTTATTTTTTTCCTAATTACATTACTTCAAATAGCTAATGTGATGTTAAACATTATGCATTCCTAATTCTATGAGCTGCTTTTGTACCAAGCCCCTCAAGGCAAGCTTAAACAAGTCCATTTCAGGGTCTTAAATTCTTAATCCCTATAAAAAAGGTTTTATAACATTAAGTGCCTTTTAAAAATATCTTTTATTAGGATGTATGGATAACATTAGCAAATATGGGATTTTCGGAAAATAGAGGGGCTGAACCTCTATTTCTGTTTTAGAAAAAGAATGAAAGAAATGAAAGGATGAACGAAGATAGTATACATCTTGATTGAACCCTAACAAATTAGAAAGATAATAAAAAGAAACTAGTATTTAACTCAAACATAATAATTTAGTTTAGTAATGTCTATTTTATTATACCTGTTAATTATCAAAAGAAATGTCCAATTTATTATTATAATCCAAAAAGTTAAGAATATAAAAGTATCCAACGACACCATGTAAAAAATATCTTGGTGATTAGTTAGGCAGCGCTCCATGAGTGCCTTATCACATAGGCATCACTCTACATGTTAAGTTACCTTGGTATTACCTAATTGTCATAGGTAGGTCGCAAGAAATTGTTGTGACTATGTGAACTCATGAAAACCAAATCACCCAGGCATGCACTCACTAGGTGATTTGGTTTATCCTTCGACTTATAGCATGTATGAGTATTTTTAGAGGCTTCAAGAAAGTGTTATGATTATGTAAACTCATCACTCCGCATGTTAGGCTACCTTTGTATTTCTTAATATAACTAGAGGTAGTCTGTCTCCATTTTGTCATATGATAGCGGACAAGGTTCAATGTATTGATATGATATTGGGCGTATCGTATCATATCTTTTGGGTTCCGAAACACCTGTTTTGGGGAACCCCCTTTTTAATAAATATATATATAAAAACATACTTTTGAAAAAAACTTTAAAAAATATAGAAGTGCATGGTTTTAAGTATCGATGCACCTTTGCTGATAGATAGAGGTGTATCGATACTTTTGAACCTTGATAGTGGGTAGTTCATATATCAATTGGGGTAGCAAAAACAAGCATGTACTCACTGGATAATTTCATTTTTCATTTGATTAATAGAATGTTTATGTTTTATTGTAGGGTTGCAAAAAAAGTTTTGTGATCATGTGGACTAATAGGATGTCTTTCATTTGATTAATCACTCACGAGGTGATTTATTAGCATGTTTGTAACATATTGGAGGATCACAAGGAAGTGTTGTAACCGCGTGAACTCATTGAAAGCAATAAATCAATGGGCATGTACTCATTGGGTGATTTGGTTTTTCTTTTGACTGATAGCATGTTAGTGTTTTATTGGAAGGCCAACAAAATATTGTGACCATGTGAATGCATCAGAACACATGTTAGGCTACCTTGACATTTCTTGATTGTCATAGTAAGGTAGTGGACTTTAAAAGGTAGTCTTTATTTTTTATTTTTTATATGTAAGTGAGTTGTTTTTGTATCATTTGGGGTAGGAAAAAGGTATGCATTCATTGGGTGATTTGATTTTTCATTTAATTGTCAGCATGTTTGTGTTTTATACTTTTATTGTAGGGTTGCAAGAAAGTGTTGTGGTCATGTGAACTCATTGTTCAACATGTTAGGCTACTTTATTTATCATATATATATATATATATATCTTAGTCTACCTTGATATTTCTAAATTGTCATAGTAAGGTAGTAGACCCTAGAGACAATGGCAATCACTACTTTTTCATAGGTTGTTATTGTGCCATGTGGGTAGCAACAATGTGACTCACTCATTGGATAATTTTGTTTTTTGTTTGATTAGTAGCATGTATGTGTTTTATTAGAGGGTTGTAAGCAAGTGTTATGACCATGTGAACACATTGAAACTAAATCACCCACGCAAGCATTCACTGGGTGATTTGTTTTTTCATTTGGTGTATAGTATGTTGTGTTTTATTGGAGGGTTAGAGAAAATGTTGTGACCATGCAAGCTCATTGCTCTACATATTAAGCTCTCTCTCTATTTCTTGGTTGTCAAAGGGAGTGAACCCTATAGGCATAGCTTCCTCTATTTAAATTAGCTGCTACCCTCAAATCCTAACGATATTTTTACATCTTGGCCAAGGATTCAAGGAAGTAAGAAACCAAAGATATTCTAGAGTTGTGATCTGTTTGCAGTTCTTTGGTGTATTTAGAGGGAAATAAGCAATAGAATTTTCAAGAACTCCCAAAATGAGAAGAGTGAAAGTTTGATCTGTTATTGGGAACTTGATTTTGGATAGGATCTTTTGTCCTTCCAGAATTTGCTGAGATACAAAGATGTTCATTTGGGTCAGGTCAGCTTTTTGGGATACTTTGGAGCTACACATGTTGATGGAGGGTTGTGCCTTTGAAGTTTGCATTTTTATTTTTTCTTTGTGATGTTTTTTCATCTTTATTTGTTTGATGTGTTATCTCATCACCTCTAGGTTACTGTGTAATTTTCTTTATTTCAATAAAGTTCTTGCTTTATCTTGCTATCAATAAGCCAAATCTAGCACATAGAGCGTTCGTGTGGTTGTGGACAGTAACATTAAGATGGTATACATTTGCTGCATTGGAGAGGGCAACTCCAAGTTTTGCTCTCTTAAGTTTAAAACTTCAATGC